AACTCACCGTGATCCTCCTGTCTCAGCCTCCTGAGGGCTGGAATAATAAGCATGTGCCACTAGGCGGGGAGACAGTAATAGTTTTAGACAGTGATAATCAGCAATATCACTAGGAAAATAAAGCTGATAAACGTTAACTAAGAGTTTGACCCACACCATTACCCTAAGCTAGGATGTACTAGAGCCAAAGTAGACAGAGCACACGTCTGGATCTCTGGAACCATCTCTGGATTCTGCTGCTGAAAGGAAGGTGATGGAGAACTTCACACTGGGAGATGCTAAATGCAAAGCTGGAGGCCAGAGCCCACTTTGTTACCCCTAGAAGACAGAGGTAGACACAAAACACAAATATGCTCCAAAATTAATGATGTCCCACCCCGTAGTCTCCCAGCATGAGTCATGCTGACTGCTCAAGTGGGTGGTACATGCTGGACACACCAGACAAGGTTTCAGCCTCAGACTCCTGTGACCTATGAGCCCCATTACATAGGTGTCGCTATGCTCCCCTGTCTCAGCTGGAGCCAGAAAACAAAGATAGGAAGGGACAGAGTCACATATCCAAGGTCTAGTGCTGCGCCTGCCTCAGATCAATGTCTGTTCTGAAATAGTGAAAAAACTCTGCTCAGGGCTTGTTATAGGCAGGGACACAAGGCAGTATGCAGAGCAGCAACAGAAAAAAATATGCTGCGTGGTTGAAAGTCCAGCTTCTGAAGAGAGGGCAAAGTCCTTGTCATGAGTGTGGGCCAGGACCATGTGTTTGGTGAGATATATTATGATCATGTCCATCTGTAAGGAAATAAAGTCGCACAAGGATCTGATTCTTATACTGCTGTTTGACTTCTGTACTACCGACGAGGCAAATATATTTTTTTCAGTAAACAATGGATTCAGTGAAATCTCCTGTTTGCAGGTCCCGTGATTATTTCCTTGGTCCTTGCAGGTTGCATTCATTCATCTGGGTGCATGGTGCCTCTTTAGCATTCAGAACACAAGTTAAGTAAACACTGAAACCTTCCCTGGTCACCATGGCTAAACAGTCTCCCATCTCCAGACCCCGTAGCCATTGCCTGAATTCTTCGTTATGTATCAATCAGTGCCTACTAGAGAAATAAATTTAATACAACAATATAAATATACAAGGACTTACAAGGTAGGCTTACCATGGCTGCTTGCACAGTCCGATGTGGAAAAATGTTTTGGACTGTCCAAGTGCTGGAGTGTTTAAGGATCCCAGCAGAGTTTGAAGGCCTGGAGCTCACTGTTGACCCCCGTGAGAGCCTGTATCAGGAGGCTCAAGTATCTGCCCTAGAAGGCTGAAAAGTCCGCGCTGGAACTCAGGACACAACGTCCAAGGTGAAGGTGAAGACTGGAGCTCCTCCAAAGAAACAGAAGCGAGGCTTCCTTCTTCATTTCCCTTCAGTTGAGTGAAGTGCACCATAATTTTCCCTTTTATTCTAACCAGTCTACAAGCCTATCTTTTGCTGTCACTTACCATCAATGTACAGTTTCTTTTCCAGTAAAACCCTTCAGCCACACCCAGAACTATGCTGATCCAGTTAGTTGAGTGTTACACAAGCTGACACAGTTAACTATCACAGTAAATGATTTCAGGCTGTATTAAAGTTTATTTACATCAATACTGTACCTGAACTGAAATGAAAAATGGTAAAATTCTTCAAAAAAAATTTAGGGCTTGGGGTGTAACTCAGTAGCATGGAACCTGCCTGGCAAGCACAGCATCCTGACAGATTCCTGGCACCAAAAGCAAAGAAAAAAGAAAATTTAACCCATCCACATATCCATATATTTAATGAACCGGTACCGTTATACTATTAAATTATATTTTATGCTTAAAACTCAGGATATATAGGTAAAATTTTGAAAAATGCTTGTGAAATATAAAGTATGACATTTATATTTCCTTAATGTCCTTAATGCATATTTTGTCTCATGTATTTCTACTCTAATTTTTACATGAATCTCAATTTTTCTCCCATTCTTAGCTGGAACAAAATCTGAATATATAGTAAGATCATGCCTTTCATTTAATCCATGAGGCTTATGTAAATTCTCATTTTATACACTGAAAAATGACAATAGCAAAGAAAATAGGCATCTTAACTAAAAGACACAGTTCTTTATCGTCAGAGCTGAAATGAGCTCGCAGAAGTTCTTTTTCATAAAACTCCAGTGCACAAACAAGTGTGAAGACAACCTTCTGAAAATGACCCTTGAACTTACTGTTATTAACCAGCTTTACTAGAAAAAAAATTAAGCACACTAAATCACACTGATTTTCACTGAACAGCTCATTGAAGGCACACAGAAGCATCCTACAATATACTTCCAATATCAAAGTGTACAATATTACTGTAATGCTAAAAAGCTTTTGTCTGCCCTTTTTTGGATGAATGTCCCTTCTATCCCCTGAACTAGTCAAACTCCACTCTACCTGTTGTCACTATAGATTAGATTTTCCTTTGCCAGAATTTCATATACAAGAAATCATACAGCTTGTACTCTTTAATGGCTTCCTACTTTGTCTCAACATAACTGTTTCAATTCATGTAGTTCCAGGTGCCAATAATGTGATTTCCATTATTTCTGAGCACTATTTACCATAAGAAAATGTCAAAATTTATTTCTTCCTGTGCTGATGACGACTTGGGTAGTTTCCACTTCTGGCAGTTTCGTTCTGTTATGAATGAAGCAGGTTTGACTAGTCTGACACAAGATGCTGTATGAACTGCTGTCTTCAAGGACCTTGCACAGAGGCCTGGGAGGGCATCTGTTATAGCTTATGTCTGGGTGTCCCCCCAAAGCCTCATGCAGTCATGGGGCGGGCTTTTAGAGTTTATGATTGATCCATGGTCCAGTGCTGGGATTATGGGTGTGAGTGCTACATCCACCCAGGGGTGAATAGTTTGCATATAAGGGAGAGAAAGAGGCTGCTTGCCTCCACTTCTCCATTTTGTTCTTGTTGCCCTTTGCTATCTTCCACCAGCATGACACGTTACCCTCTGCCATGTGCCACCCTGCCTTGGAGCCAGCTGAGTATGTATTGAAACCTCCACAGACTGTGAGCTAAATAAACCTTGCCTTCCTTTATTTTGTTTTTTTTTTTTCTTCCTTTATTTTGGTGTTGAGCATTTTGTCTCAGCAACGAGAGCAAAGTAACCAAGACAGCGTCTTTTGGGTACGATAGTATACTTCTAAACCTATGCTATGTTGTTCTGCTAAGAGGTCATATATTCTTTGTTTCCACCAGGAATTGATAGTTTCAGACACTCCCTGTACTTGTTTGTTTCATTTTTTAAAAAAGATATCCCTTATTGACATATGAAATAAACAAAAGAGCTAGAGTTCATTAAGCCAATTTTATCCCTTATTAATTACCATTTTCTTGCCATGTTTCTCTGCTTGATATGTTTGGAATTGATCTTCATTAATTCAGCCCACTGAAAAGGCAGAAGGTAGTAGAGAAGAAATGAATAATTACTGCAAATAGGGGATACATAAGGACATCATATCCATGGGATAAGGAAGCGGGGAATGGGGTATACAGAGGGGATGCATTGTATGCCTGATTCTGAGATTTCTCTGGGGAAAAATAGTTCAGAGCTTCAAGACTGTGTCCCTGCAGTTGTTGACACCTCCACTGCAGCAGCCATCTTGGTTGGAAAAATAAACAAATTCCAGGCGATCCTGTGTTAACTACGCCACCTCCATGGTTTTTCAGAAGATTTAACTCTATTGTTCACACTGAGCTGAGATACTGTGCCTAAGGGAGGTATTCAAATTTTACAGTCCTGAAAACCACATAGAAACTATGAAAATAGGGCTAGGAGATATTTTTCAGCATGAAAGGAAACGATTTCTTTATGTTTTTAATGGTCAAGGCCCAGATTGCAAGAGCAAATGTACTAAACTGGAGACTTTCCTCAGTGGTAGACAACGATCCCAAGCTAGGCTCCATGACATAGTGAGTGGCTCTCAGCATATCTGTAGGAAGAACGGTGACAGCTGTAAAATTACACCTGCAAATGCAGTCAATTATATGGGCATCACATTGTAAAACTTCTTGCTCATGGTTTAAAATTAGCACAGACCCTTAATGTGAAATCCAAGCAATTCTACATCCTAGTAACCTCCAAGACACACTCAATGCTGTACAAGTTGCTATTACAATACATTAAGCAAGCCAGGATAATACCAGAGAATAAAAAGGGAGCCTTTGTAGTAGCACAACGTAGAATTAAATATTTTGCTTAGTGTTCCATAGTAAAATGTATTTGAGATTAACTTTTGAAAAGCTTCCATAGTATAAATTCAAAGATTTTTGTTATTCTTGAAAAGAAAAACTGTAGGAATGTTGAAACATGAATGACTTACAGGAAATAGGAGAAGAGGATAAACAGGTAGAATTTAGAGGAGTTTTAGGACACAGAAGTCGCACTGAGTCATAACCAAAATGTTGTGTGTGTATCATTATACACTGGGTTATGCTGGTGAAACATCAAGAATGAACCTTAATATGAAATCTGGATGTTGAGTGCAAATTAACTCTCACTGATTACAGCAAAATTGTAGCTGGATGTTGTTGACTGAGAGATTGTGTAAGTGTGGAAGAGTAGGGTATGAAGGATACATCCACCATTGTACTTTAAATTTTGCTCTGAACTGAAATCTACTCTAAAAAATGAAGTAAATCTTTACAAATTCTTTCTTGAAACACAGAGAAGGGCTTTTCTGTTGCTGTATAAAATCCAAATGATGCCATAATGCACATGCTCAGGGGAGCATGTCAGTGTCCTTCATTACATCAGCACAGGTACTGTGAGGTCTGTGCTCACAGCTGAGGAGGAGGGAAAGTGAGGGTGCTGAGGAGCCTCCCTCCACCTGCTACCAGAACCTCCCTGTGACCTTTAAAGCCTGGTGATGTCTGAGCAATGCTCTCCGCAGGTGAGGACACCAGAAAGAGCAGCTGGGTCAGCCCACACTCACACTTCTGCTTCCCTGGGAATTCTTGTTATAGCTTGTATCACTGTGTGAGGTTTACTCCGACTCTGCAGACAGTAGTAAGTTGCAACATCTTCAGCATGCGTGCTACCGATGGTGAGAGAATAACCTGTCCCAGACCCACTGCCGCTGAACCTGGATGGAACCCCAGATTGCAAATTAGTTGCATCATAGATCAGAGGTTTAAGAGCTTTCCCTGGTTCCTGCTGATACCAGGATAACCACTGGATAACATCCTCACTCTCCCTACAACTGATGGTGACTGTGCCTCCTATGGATGCGGATAAGGAGGATGGGGACTGGGTCATCTGGGTGTCACATCTGGCACCTGACAATGGAAACATAACAAATATCAGCACAGTTAATCATGATAAAACAAGACCGCCTTGAAGGGCCAGGCAGCACTAAACACTGTGCTGAGTAAATTCCCAGCGCTCTCTTTCCTTACCTGGCAGCCAGAGCAGCAGGAGGCCCAGGAGCTGAGCGGGGACCCTCATGTCCATGCTGTGTCCTGACTGGGTCTGAGTCCTGCACAGGGTGTGACAGCCTATGAAGAAGTTCTCAGGGCCTGGGCTGTGCTCTGGGACATGCAAATCAGCAGGGCGGGGCAAGGCTCTGCACAGCTGCTGAGCTGCCTCATCTCAGCACAGGCCACCTATCCACTAGGGCCCCTGCTCAGACCAGGAAGGCACAGATTTCTTACACAGAATATGTTTCTCCCTTGGAGCACAGGAAAGAATAAGGCTGATCTCCCATGGGTACACTGAACTACTGTTCGCTTTGTAATTTAGAACATACTTTGCTTGCACTCCTTAACCACTACTCTATGTTACAGACCCTTGTAGAAGCATGAATTAAGGAACTGAAGAGGCCACTTCAGGGTGAGGCTATTAGAAAGAGAATTGAAGACAAGGACGAGGTAGAATTTATAGTCTTTGAACATGCTGAGGTTTCTCTCCACAGCATGGTTTCCAGTCCTTCACGTCACAAAGAAAAACACATGAGCACATAGTTTTCCTGTCTTCTAAAAGAGCAGTTCTGACCGCAGCCAGGTTCTACCCCTATTTTTCTTTCAGCATAAATTGGAATTGTCTTTGAAACAAATAAAAGAAACTGTAACAATTATTAAAACCTTAAACTAAAGTCCGCATTGTGACCAATTTAGAATCTGTGCATCAGCTTGGAGACAGCAGAAAGAACACAAATGCTTTATTGCTGCCGTGCCACTGTCAATGCACAGACCTTTCAGTGCTGATCTCAATGCCTCATGGTCTGAGAGCTCAGCTTGAAGCGTCTGTACCTCTGTTCTTGTAACTGTCTCTGAAAGAAATCCAGACACAGATTTCCACTCCCCCGTCCTATTTCAGGTGTATGAAAATCTTCCCCAGCTCCTGTGCACCTTCTTCATTCCTCTCACATCTCACCTCTGAGATGCTCACAGGAGCCCCCCAATCCCTGCTCCTGCCATGCCTGGAAGGGGTTCATCTGTGTCTGCCATGCATAGCAGGTCCGAGCTGCTGCTGTATAAACTGAGGAGAACAGAGATGACTGCTGGGAAAGTGACCAATTTTGAAAAGGCCATTTAAAAATAAAGAACTCTGTGCTTCTAACTTATATTTGGTGGAAAAGAGAGATCTGAAGAAAAACTGTATCTCTGCGTTAGGAACAAGCAGGACTCTAGGGTAACAAGGAAAACAAACCCTCCTTACCCGGGTGCTGAGGGTGCATCAGGAACTGAGAAGACATGGGCAGTGAATTTAGGGTCTTAATAGATTGTCAAGCTCTGGAGTGAATGGCAGGCGTTTGGAACAGGGATCTGAACCTGGGCTGAGATCAGGCTTGCAGTGCTGAGAGCTGCAGATCAGTGCCCTGGGCTATGGAGGAAGCAGCTACTCCCCTGACACATGGGGCTCAGCACTTGTGAGACCAGAGACTCTGCCCATGGGGTCACCTGGCAAGACATCCAGGGAAGGAAAGTACTCAACACTCTGGGTGCTGACCAAGCTGACAGCCCCAAGAGGAGCGACACCGTGAGAGACCAGGACCACAGAGCTGCCCAGATTCTGTGCGCTGAAGGTTCTCCTGAGGCAGAACCTGAGCAGCTGATCCTCCTGATCCCCAGGGCAGAGGCCAAGAAGAGGATCAGCAAATATCCCCATCCTGGAGTCTCCGATCACTCAGCTTCTGATCTGCTTAGAAAGATGAAGAGCTTGTGTTACACAAATAAATATGTACATTGCTTACCTGCTGTGTGCATGCAATACATTAATTATTAATTTCATGTGGTGATAAATGATCCTTTAATTGCTTGTGTAACATACTATTTTCAATTCTGGCAAGTTGGACCTGAACTCCAGCGTCAGCACATCACTTCCTGATCCTTCCCCATTGCACAGTCTGAGCGGCACGAAGCTCAGGGCACAGCCCCTGTCCTGTGCACCCAGCAGCGACCTGCGTTTACTGCTGAAGACACTGGAGAATATCAGGGGACAGGTCTGCACTCACAGTCCCTCTCCCGGCCCACCTTCCCCTCCTCTCAGGGACTCTCCTATTGTATCTCCTCTGCATCGCCAAATCAGTTGAGTTCTGCAGGTTCTGTCACCTCCACCTCTGAATACATGAAGCCACTTTATTTTTGTTTCACTCACAGCTGGCCACATTCACAGTTGTGGCCCTTGTTCTGGAACCCATCCTGCTTCATTGCTAACTAGAGGCCTCCTGGGAAGGTGGTCATAGTCAGGTGTATTGCCAATCACAAAGTAAAACAGAAAACACTAAGGAACTGCCAGATAGGGAAGACATGGTATCGTCCTCAGAGACCCCACAGCCACGTGAGTCCTAAAGGCTGGGCAGAGAACTCTGTGCCTTAGTGGCTCCCCACAGGGAGATATCACTTCTACTATCCCAGTGTTTCTAGGATGAGGCCTCAGTGCTTGTATATTGTGGGGTTGTTCGCCATCTACCGGAAGTTCTGTAACATAACACCCTATTTATTTTGGTACCCTAAGGCCTTGCCTGAATGTTTTCACCTATATTCATGACACTGATCCTATTCTATCAATTACCAGGCAAGATTCTGTAGAAAATGCAAGTAATTCCTCTTAATAAATTACCCAACTAGGAAGAACAAATGACTCAGAGTTCACCTAGATTTCTGTAGAGATAGTGGTCACAGGACAGTGAACAGGAATTGTGTAACCCACATGATATGGCCACAATGTAGTTTTTGCAAAGACCATGGGCCCTTAGGACCCTGCAGGAGATGTTGGTAGACTAACGAATCGTGGTAGAGATCTGTAAGCCCTGCCCATCCCTCCTCTCCCAGGACCCCTTACAGTGCGGCTGTGGGAACCCCAGTAGTTACTTGTTGCACACTCAGCAGTTGGTGAGTGGCTGCAGCTGTGGCAGCAGAAATGTGAGAAGGTCCCAGAAGTGCTAGGTTCCTGCACTGCACTCTCTACCTCTCTCGCAAGTCTCTGCATAAAGTGTGAGGAAGGGATTACAGCTAGCCTGGGGCCCAGGCATATCCCTGTTTTCACCAACACCTCCTTCTCTTAAGGGCCTCGAGGATCAACAGATTCATGTCTGGCAGTTTAACATCTCTCAGGTTTCAATTGCTTTGACTTTTTATTGAAAACAATGAACTTGAAGGATAGGAATATAATATTGATGCTATGGGACATAACAGTCTTAGATTCACTGGGAGCCCCATGCTAGTACATTGGTGACTCTGCTATTGCAGGTGTTGTTCACAGTATCACAAATATTCACTCATTCCAGAAAACTTGCAAGAGAATTGATGGTGTCTAAACTGAAGGAGGAGGTGTTAATACCTAAAGTCAAAACCAAAGGAACACCCTCAGAATAGCAAACATCTTGCCAAGACATTTGTGTTCAAGTTGAAGACGGTAACAAAACTAAATATTATTCAGGGTTATCCCTGATTTTTAGCATTTTGAAATGTTGGTTCTTTAAGGTACAGTTGGGTTAATTAATTAGACATATAGGTCTGCATCATTTGTTTCATTCATAATAGATTTATATTTCAATGACAATTATACTTTGATCTGTAATGATATAAATTTTTGTATTTTTAAATATTCAAGTTTTAGTTCTTTTATTGCATCTAGTCAGAGCTTTGTCACTGAAGTAACACGTATTTCCCTAAAAATACTATGAACAAAAGAAACTAGGAACACATTTTTTTCATATTTACTGCTTATTCTGTCTAAGGTAGTAAATACAGTTATAGATATATTGCTTGTCGGAAGAAAACTTCTGAGTCACAGCTCAGGAACCACCTCCTGAGCTTAAGTTGTAACACAGTATCAAGATGAGAACGAAGCAAAGTAACCGAAGACTTTCTCATTTACTCTTTGCCAGGAAACTCTTGGTTAGGATAATATTTCCCTCTCTTCCCTTTGCTTCCACTTTTTAATCACTGTCACTTTGTAATATGCAAACAGCACTTGGCTTATGGATTGAATAGAGAAATGCTATGAGGTAATGCTCTCCCACACATCTCTAAGGTGTACTATCAAAAACCAAGTTAAATAACCGTAACGTATTACAGGATGATCAGGCCTGCAATCTCCCAAGCGAGTGGACTTCGAAGGCTTAAATAAAATGCAGACAATATTATGATTTTAGGGCACCAAGAGGGACTAACTCCCTTACAGCTTCAGTATTCTCTGAGTAAGCCAAAGACTGCTCTGGGCAGCCCGTATTTATTTGGTTTTCAAACAAAGGGAGAGGATACTCAAGAAAATGCAGGAATCTCACAGGACCTTGGGAGAATTTTCCCAAGTAGTACATTATGTCAATCAGGAGAACTACCTTATCTTTAGGTTGGTATTTATTGTAGGAGTGTGGGGCCTGCAGCTGCAGTCTCCTGGTAGTTAATTGGGGTTCAAGCCAAACGTCTTCAGCTGTGGACTTATCTTGTCAGACAAGGTGCATAAGCTTCAGACAACTCACAAGTAAACATGGAAAGCCAATTGGTTAATATTACATTCTGCTCAGAGCCACTTTGTAGTGGTCCCCAAAAACACTCCAAGAAGAGATGGCGTTGTAAATTGTTTTTATAACACAGGAACACTGCTAAAGGGAAGGGCTGACTCCTTAGATTTTTTTTTTTTTTTTTTTTT